TCTCCGTCTTTTTGCAGCTTTTCAAATATGTGCTTACCAGATAGAAGACAATCTACCTGCTAGGAACTCTGAACTCTGGAAACCGGCGACAGGTGCCGAGCTTTATTTCCGCTTCCGGGATATTTTGAGTGGGAAATGCGGTGAGGTAATCGATAAGGAATTAAGCTCTATTAGCCGGTTGAGCTCTTTTTGCAACCTTATCAGCTGGTCGGTTGCGGTTAGTGGGGTAAGTACCTGTTTCTTTCAGCCACTGGCAACAACGTAGACCAAGTTGGCCCAGCTCCGTCACAAGTGGCCGACTTTGAACCCTTCCTTGCTTCTGGGTTTTCTTACAATTGTCGCACTTGTCACCACGCCACTGCCGCCCCACCTTTTACCCCCCTCTAATGTTTTTACTCTTTTTATTCTTTTTATTTTTTTTTTGTTTTGTTTTTTGTCAGCTTCTTTTATTGTTATGCGCAGTGCGTAGAACAAGTGGACGCTTTGTTTGACAACAACAACAGCAAGTGAAACATCAGTGGCTGGGGCGAGTAAAGAAAAAATACGTTAAGTTTACACGACTCCCAAGCGCTGAGGAGGAATCACCTGCCGCAGTTTGTTGTTTGTGTAGTCGCTGTTTGTGGGCTTGACATTTGACAATAAAGCAAATAATCATGGGAAAAAAGCTGAGCCCCCAGAAGAACTACGACTCACCGCCTAAGTCATCAAAAGAAAATATCAAAAACTTCGGGGAGGGGGGTGGAGATCCGGAACCGAAGTCAAAGCAAATGAAAGCGTTGAGTGGAGATCTATTAGATGAAAGCAAAACCAAATTTAGATTGACGAGTTTTGTTAGGGACTTGTATTGTGATTGATCGATTAGCCATACATTTAGTTAAATACAGATATTTCTTATATTTACAACGTCAATGGTAGAATTATCTAACAAATTAAAGATATTTACTTCTTTATTCGCTCTGGTTGTCAATAAGTTTATATAGAGGTTGTTTCTTAACTTATATTATCTGCTATTAAGAAACTGTCCATCATGTTCAAAAATTACTGTTCAGCTTGTAAATATATTTAAGTTTACTATTGATATAACTCATTTCATTAGTTTAAATCTATAAGTTGCAAACTAAATTTACTTGGAATAAATTTAAGAAAATCGGAAACAGTAACATTAACTTATTCAAGCAAAGGAAAGAGCAGTTTTACATATAATTTCCGTAAGTCTTAATATGTAATTACTCCGAATGACTCATTGAACTAAGATTCGCACCTATGCATTTAAGCAAATACCATAGACTGGAAAGCATTTACGCTAGCCTATCAGAAGCACGACGATTATGAGTAACTTATTTGAAATCGGTGCGAAAGCCAATGGCAACTGTCTCCTTATCTGCCATTATCTATTGGAAGGGTTACATTGTCGGTGAAAACTTATAAAAAGCCAACTCGATCGATTACAATCTTAGTTCAGTTCGAACCTTAAAGCGTAACGATAGTTCTTGAAGTTTTATGAAAAGTTTTAAGTGTGGAGAGACCCATAATTTAAATATTGAATATTAAAAAGTGTAAAGTTTTTAAAGGTAAAATATTGTTCTTACAGCAAAAAGTAAGAGACGGACAAAAAGGTTAAAGAGAGAGGTTGGAAAAAACGGACTAGGTTCAAAAAAAAATATTGATAAAATAATTAAAATATTTATAACTATTTTCAACGTCTAAAAATCCTTCGATTAAAATTTACAGAGATCTTAACAATGGTCTCTAAATTCCAAATCACTTATAAAAGGGGATAAAAAAATTCTGATAATAAATAAGGAAAATCCCTATTGTTTATCGCAAATCGGCTTCAAGTAATTAATATCACAGGTACACAGCCAAAAATTTCCAGGAACCATTTCAAGTTTTCCATGATATTTGGGTGCTCCTGAGTAAAAGTCCCATACAATATTATTTTCCATCACCTACAGGTTCCGCGGTATACCTAAGAATACAAAAAACCGATGTTTTCCGACATTTTGAATTACGTGGCCAATATAAGTGGACTTACCTTTATTATTTTCGGTAGGACCTACTCTCAATACATCACGGCATTCCTAAAAAATAGTCCCCATTGTGAACCATTGCCCATGTCTTTGGAATTCGACGCCAAAGTTGAAAATCCCAAAATTGTAGAGATTTTTCTGATGTAAAAACAATTCTGAGGATTAAATCTTGAATGGAAGTAATTTTAACTATTCATTGTATCTATTGTTCATTGTATGATTTAATTTCGGTTTAAAGCGTTTTCATGAGGACATTTTATTGGATTTCTTATACTAATAAAAGCTATTTTTTGATTTCATTATCTACTCCTAAATGTTGTCAAATTTTGAATAAGTCATGGCAACCTCTAGAACTAAGAAACTAAAATACGTTCACTGAACATACATAGAAAAATGTAAATGTTTACTCCCATTCTGTAGGATGCCTTGACTTTTTTAAAATTTGACAACATTTAGGAGTAGATAATGAAATAAAAAAATCGGTTTTATTAGTATAATAAATCCAATAAAAAATATTCTCATGAAAACGCTTTAAACCGAAATTAATGCATACAATGAACAATAGATACAATGAAAAGTTAAAATTACTTCCATTCAAGATTTAATCCTCAGAATTGTTTTTACATCAGAAAAATCTCTACAATTTTGGGATTTTCAACTTTGGCGTCGAATTCCAAAGACATGGGCAATGGTTCACAATGGGGACTATTTTTTAGGAATGCCGTGATGTATTGAGAGTAGGTCCTACCGAAAATAATAAAGGTTAGTCCAATTATATAGGCCACGTAATTCAAAATGTCGACCAACACCGGTTTTTTGTATTCTTAGCTATATCGCGGAACATGTAGGTGATGGAAAATAATTTTGTATGGGACTTTTACTCAGGAGCACCCAAATATCATGGAAAACTTGAAATGGTTCGTGGAAATTTCACAAAGTTTAATTTTGTGTTCCTGTGTATAAAGTAAAGAAACGGTTCACTCGCAGTTGTTGAGGGAAAAGTGCAGGGTTGAGAAAATGCTTGCGATGCTTTGAGAAAATGTTGGAGAGGAAACCCAGTGTTTGAGCGAAATAAGAGTGCCGAAGACATTCGAACCCGCCCGAACGCAGTCGAACAAATTCCGACCAGTGAGATACGTTTGAGTCGCGAGATACGTTTGAGTCGTATCCATGAGATACGCTGTGAATTTTTCAACTCTGCTCTGCATCGCTGAGATACGTTTGAGTCGTTTTCGCGGCGTCAAATCGAGCAGACCTGTGTCGCTCCGTAGAGCGAGTTCCCCCGAATAAAAAAAGAATTATACGAAATTCCGCCTGTGTTAGGAGCAGAAAAAAGAATAATTTTAAACCAACATACACAATCAGTTAGTTTCCACCGACAGTCCGCAGAAGCCATTCGACGGCAACGGAACGGGAGCGCGATTGTCGGCAATCCGAAAGATAGCCAAATATTATTGTTCAGACACTCCGAGTAGAGGGCGTTGATAAAAGATCACCCAGACAACTGCAGACCGAGTGGAGTGTTGTTTTGAAATCAGTGAAATTCTGTGTGAAAAGTCGGTTGAATTGATTCGGAATAACTAAGAGTTCCCAGCGAATTTCACCAGCTGCAGTAACCGAAGTGGCTTACCGAACAAATCGAACCAAAACCAACGCCAATCGATCGATCGATCGTGTAAAAGGACTTTCGGTTTCGTTACGAGTGCGCGATAAAGCGACGGACTTGTGATTCTCCCCGGCAAAGAGGACTTTTTGCGGAATAAATCCAAAAAAAATAACAACTGTGGCAACAACAACAAAAACAAAAATACAACAGCAGACTGAGCATCGTCATAGATTTTGGCTCTCCTGAAGCAACAACAACTTCTGTCTGTGCCGTGCACTTGGTATATGTACTTAAGTATATACAATCTATATACACATACGCACCGAGATATATAAAACAAAAAACGATCGATTCTCGTGCCCGCGCGTGTGACTGTGTGCGTTTCCCATGTTGCATATATATATGCACAAAATATATATACATATATCTAGAGTCTAGAGCCGACTGTTGCGACGACTTTTTCTATATAATCGGCTAGTGAGCTAGTGAGCTATTGAGCAGCACGCAGACATCGAAAAGGTGCACAACTACACCCAACAGATGCGGGTATATATGCGTATTGCATATACTATATATCTAGCCAAAGCCAAAGTAGAAGTTATATATGCGTATAAGCTGAACGCGGCGCACTCTGCTCTGTTTTTTCTTTTATAATTACTTTTGTCTAAAATTAGAAGACGTGTGTGTTGTGTGTGCCCCGTCCGTGTATCCGTATCCGTGAGATACGCGTGAGTGTCCGCGTCTGCTATATCGCACATCATCATCATCATCACACATCGACCATCCGCCATCCGCCATCCGCCATCCACCATCATCATCATCTTCATCAGAGATCAGAGATCTGCGGCGGTGTGTGTGCCAGAAAAGACGACTCGTGAATCAGACTACGGCTGCGACTACGACTACGGCTATATAGACGAGAGATCGCGTATACGGCCAGACAAACATTATCGTATATCTCTTGGCGGCGAGGATTACAATTACAAGAGCACCGACAGCAAAAGCAACAGCAAAAGCAAAGGCAGCCGAAGCTAAAGCCGAATACGAATCGTATCCGAATATACGACGAATCCGCATCCGAACCCGAATCGAGACGATACGATACGATACGAAACGATCGCGCGCGTGAAAAACCTCGTGAAGAAAAGCGCTGCGAGAGAAACAGTGGGGGAAAAATCAAACGCCACGCGACCTTAGGCCCGTCCAATTGGGGGGGCGTGCAGCGGGGCGTGGCCGTGCGTCGACTCCTAGGCGATCGCTCAAGTGAAACGCGGCGAAATTCTGGGCAGATAACAAAAATGAGTCACCAAAAAAAGCAGCAGCAGCAACAGCAACAACAGCAAGAGCAGCAGCCACATCAAAAGCAACAGCAACAACCGAGTGCGGCCAAGTGTTCATAAATTAATGCTAGGCAAACAGTGTTGTGTTAGACCAGTCCGAAAGACACTATTCCCCTCTCTCTCCCCCTCGAACAGTCCGTCTCTCTCTCGCCCCTGCTGTCGCTCAAAATGCTACGAAACTATCGAAAGTATTTGCAGGATAAACGGAAATACGACAAGCCACAACGACGAGGCAGCGAAGGATACATTTGTCACGTTTAGGCAAATTGCAAGGACACGAAAAACCCCCCAGCAGCAGCAGCAACTCGCAGCAATACGCAGCAGCAGCAGCAGCAGCGGCAGCAACACGCAGCAGCAACACTCGCTATCGAGATTTTGTACATAAAGTCGGGGCAATAGCAACAACAACTTTGGAGGACGCCATGTATGCGCAACATTTGCGCAAATGGAGTCTAAAAACAAAAAAGCAACTAATGCCATTGATATTGCTAATTATCAGCTACATGTTGCTACTAAACACATGTGTATTGTCGTCGGCGACGACACAGCAGCAGCAGCAACAGCAGCAGCCAAGATTATGGGAAGGCAGTGCCGAAGCCGAAGAAAGCAGCTACTATATACCACTGAGTTCGGATAATGGCAGCGGGAGCAGTGAAAGCAGCAGCAGCAGCAACATCGACAACAATATCTTAAGTAGGCTGCTCAGCCTCACCAGCAATAGTCTTAGTAGCCGTAGCAATGTTAAGTTAGAGCCAGCAACAGTATTCGACGCCGGCAGCAGTTCAGCCGCTCAGCAGGAGCAACATGTTGCTGCCGCGCCAGAGCAGCAGCAGCAGCAGCAACACCAGCAGCTACAGCAGCAGCAGCAGTCAATGCAAAAAGTTCCAAATACGTTAATCAATAGTCAAATATATAATTTATTATACAATGGCATGCCCAGCGAGGCGGCGAGCAGTAAAATGCGTCGTCACATTCAACCATCACAATCGCAGCTGCAACACCAGCAGCAGCAGGAGAGTTTAGCACGAATGCCGAGCAACTTCAGCAGTCGGGCGGTACAGAGCTATCTAATAGAGTCCTACGAAGTGCCAGATAGCCAGTTTGATGGCCAGGCGCGAAGTCGGCGGGACGGTAGCAACACCAACGCCGGCCGACAGCAGCAGCAACATCGTCCCGGCCACCGGCAACAGTTGCAGCAGGACAAGCGCGATCATCGCCGCCAGCGGAAGGAACAGCGGAAGGAGCAACAGCATCAGCATCAACATCAGCACAAGAGCAACAACCACCAGCAGCAGCAGCGCAGGAAGCACCAGCGGAAGCATCGGGGTCACCAGCGATCCGATCGCTACTGCTCCGCCCGGGATCCCGCCCAGTTGGCCTATGCGGCGCCCACCGTCTTCCAGGGCGTCTTCAAGTCGATGTCTGCCGATCGGCGGGTCAACTTCTCGGCCACGATGAAGGTGCAGAAGGTGTACAAGCAGCAGCACGACCTCCAGCTGCCCACCCTGGTGCGATTGCAGTTCGCGTTGAGCAACGCCAGCGGCGAGTGCGACATCTACAGGGAGCGACTGCTGCCGCGCGGACTGCTCCGTTCCGGAAACGATCTGCAGCAGGCCTCGGATATATCCTACATGATGTTTGTCCAGCAGACCAATCCCGGCAACTTCACCATCCTCGGCCAGCCCATCAGAGTCACCCACTCGGTGGTGAAATCGGTCAAGATGGCTGTGAGCGAAAATTATGGTGAGTGGATTTCGATTTTAAACTTTCCAAGGGGGTTTATATAAGGGGTTACGATTTAAGAAGCTAGAAAAGAAAGACATGATATGGATTGTTGAATATTTTGAAGGTGGAACATATTAAGGTCTATAAAAAAATGTATTTGGGAAATTTCTTTTTAAACATTTTATGGAGGTTCCCTAAATATAAATCCCTAATTTTTAAAATTTCTTACAAATTTCCAATTTTATTCAAATGAAAATTAATATATTTTAAATTTAAAACTTACTGGTAATTTGTCTAAGGTTATCACCTGAAGCTTAAGTCTTTTTCTCTCGACCATTGAACCCATTTAGCTGGCTTGAAATCAAAAAAATATTGTTTTCAGCTATAAGATATGATACGAAAATCTCCTTAAATTGGCTCCCTTTCTCTCTCTTACAACCTTTCTTTCGGATTCCTCCCATTACCTTTCTCTCTCTCTGTCTCCCCGTTGCAGCTGCCTCTTTCTCCTCTTCTTGTTGTTGTTTAATGAAATTTAGCTGGCTTTTTTGCAGCTGAATTTCTTATTTGCCAACTTCACGCTCTGCTAATATTCACCAGACCGAAATAATTTTATGCAATACACTTACACACACAAACATGGCACACACACACACACACACTGGCAAACGTTGCGCATGCGCCTGTGCGATTGCAGTTTTTTTTTTTTGCAGGTCTAGGCCCTGGTCTTCTTTGGATTCTTCTACTGGATTCTTTTCTTTGTGCCCGGCTCAATTTGGTTGCCGGGCAACAAAAATGCTCACATCTAGAATTTATTATTGCTGCTGCTGCTGCTTATGCCGCTGTTGCTAGTTGCACATTTTAATTAAATTCGCATTAACTTTGCCCGCCGTTCCCGGGGTTCCGCGCTTCAGCCCTTCATCCCCCAAGAAGTGGGAAAAACTTTGAAAACTCATTTCTGTCCGACTTGGTCTTCTTAGCTCCAATGTGCAACTCACAACGTCATCGTCATCGTGGTTGTTGTTCTTGTTCTTCTTTTTGTTGATTTTATTATTGTTGTTGTCTGCATTCGACCTTTGCGGTTGGCAGACTCAACCCAACCCTACGTTCTTCTCCCACTGCTGTTGTTGTAATTATTCTTGCGTCGCGGTTCATGGAGTTTTGCGTCTGTAATGCGACTAAGTGCGATCACCCGGCCCCGCCCCTCGCCGCCTCCCCCGCCTTTCTTTGCTTTTGCTTCGCTTTTGCCTTGCTTTTCTCTTCATTCTCTTAAAGAAAGGGTATTTTAATAATGGTTCGAAAATGGAGAAGACCTTACATTAAAGTTATAAACATTCATGTTATTTTAAAAGAATAAATTTCTTTGGAGTTTTTAATTGTATTTAATTAAACCTATACCTATACTATAAATTTTTAGACCCTCTACAAGAGCATTTAAACTTCGGTTAACCAAAATTAACTTCCTTTCTTTTTATTTATTTGGCTTTGTTGCTGTTGTCTTTATTGTCTTCTCCCTCTTGGATTTTGTGCTTTGTTTCATCGCGGGCGCAATTAGATTTTTAATTCATTTTCTCTCTCCACTTTGCTCCTTAGCTGCTGTTTCAGCTTCTGGCTCTTCCGTCATGGCTCTCGCACACGCGGAGTGGGAGGAGAGAAAGAAAACCCCCCGGTATTCCCAAGATCCCCCGAGATATACATACATGCATATATCCCCCTCAGAAGACCCAACTCTTTTCGAACCGAAATCAGCTGCAATCAGCTGTTCTCTCGCGCTTTGTCTTTTTGGGTTTATTATCTGGTGTTTATTTACTTTCTGCACTCGCTTCCTTCTCTCTCTTTTCTCCGGCCCCACAGACCTCATCAATGGAACACATATAGCATTAACAGGATATTTACTTTCTGCCCCGACTGATTTATTTTGACTGCGAACGCAGCAAATGCTTGGGAATCGATCGATTCGCAATTGGGTAGTATGTTCGAATGTGCATATACTTATAAAAAAGCGATTACTCATCGAAATGCATACTAATCAATCCACCCACACAGCCGCAGACCGAAATCTGTCAACTCCTTTCACTTTGCCAATTTCTTCTTCGCTGGCCAAAGCCAAAAGCCAAAAAGCTGGCCAATTTGCATATCGGGCCATAAAGCCTGAAGATCGTCAGCCGGATCGTTAAAATCTTCAGCCCCAATCAAAGCCCCGAAATGGAATCAAATCGTGGAGATCAATCAAAATCTGACTCGGATCGGATCGGTTATTTTGCAACCTGAAAATAGACTGAAAATAGAAGCGAGGCGAAGGGGCCAAAGCAGGGATTTATTATTCATACGCCCCGTGTGACGACGCAGCTCGCGCTCTCTGCCTGAAACCAATTAAAATGCCTTCGAACCTGACTGAATCGGTAGTATCATGAATTAACTGGTCGCATTTTATGCCCAATTTACACCCACGCCGTGAACGTCAGTCAGCCACCAAGTAAAAAAAAAAAGAGTGTGACTTGAATATGCGAAAAAAATGAGGCAGGGAAAAAACAAAGAAGAGGCCATGTGAAAAATAAATAAAAGTCACATCTTTTGTATTTAGCTGCGGGGCTACTACGGTTTACGGTTTGTTCTTCAGTCTCCAGTCTTTAGCTGTGGTTGCTATTGTTGCTGCTGAGGTGTTAAGTAAATTAGCTGCTCATAAAACATGATTTGATCTGGCAGAAGTCCGAGTCGAAGCAGAATCATCGGCTTGGCTCCCGATGTTTGTTGATTGTTTGTTTGTTTGTTTCTGGCTTTTGGCTTCTCCGAAAGCGGAGACAAACTGGCAGTGGCTGACACAATATTAATTATACGACATACTAAAAATATATCTAACATTATATAATTATTTGTCACTTGTGCTGCACGCAGCATTGAATATTAATTTTTATTCTGCGGTCTCTATTTTGTCACCTTGCCAAAGCACTAATAATCTCGAAAAGATTTTTCATTGAGAAAAGCAATACCCGGTGTTCTGTAGTTCTACAGTTCCACAGTTCTATAGCTCTGTAGTTGGAAACACCGCAGAGAACCTTGACTGCTGGGATTCCATTACCCTAGCTCGACATGGATAACCTGCGACTTGGGTTTCGGTTTCTCTTCTGGGTTCTCCACTCCGGTTGCACTTGTTAGAAAAGTGGGAAATGTATTGTGTTGTGTTGTGTGTTGTTTTGTGTTTGGCAAGCGATTACAAAACGAAAGAAAACAGAAACAGAAAGAAAACGCCAGAGCGGAAAATGCTTTTCAGCAGCATAGCGACACAGCGCAGTTCGCATATTTAGGTCAACGCCTACGAGTGGAAGCGACAAACTTACCCAACGGCACCCACAATTCATCATTTCCCAGCTCATCTCGTCTCATCTTTTTGGTCTTTGGGGGTGTCTGGTCGGTCTACCTGGTCATAAGATTTTCCACGTCGGTGGGTGGGGGCGGGCTGCTCATTTAGCGTCACGCCAGAGAAGAGACAACTTTTCGTTAGTTTCTGTCTGTGATGGCTCTTGTTGATTTTTCCTCTTTTTTTATTATTTTTTTTTTATTTTTTGGTAATTAAGTATGAATGGCGGCGCTAGACGACGAACCTTGGTTCGTTTAGGTAGTAAGTGTAAAGGGGGTTGACTCGGATCTCTGACCAACCCAGCCCAGCCCCGCCCCCTTTGCGATTCCTCAGTATTCAAGTGCACTCAAAAAAAACTATATTAGCAAAAGAAGCATTTGTATTCTCAAGATATTATTAGAAACTGACAAAAGAGTGGCAAAAATAAATGCTTGAAACAAATAATTAAACAACACCAAGTTTTTACAATAATATTTATTGTTTCATGTTTTTTTACCTCTTTATGGACGAAACTTATTTCAAAATATTTTTTTTTTAAATCCTAGGTAATGGTAAAAAAAAGTATTTTTAAAATCTAGGAAAATACTTTGGAAAATAAATGTTCCAATTATAGATTTTCCCAAGTCTCTCAGCTATTTAGAACATTTCCCGAGCATGGGGGCGATTCTTGCCAGAGGCACTCTCATTATTTAGGGCCACTTATGGGCTCTTTTTTGCCAAGTGTAGGGGCCCCTTGGGACTTGGCTGGCGGGCCGTTTGGCATGCGGGAAATAGAAAATTATAACGAAATGAAATTTTCAAATGGCATGCCATGTTTCCTTGCCTTGCCTCGCGACTCGACTCGCTTGCCTCGTTTATGAGTTTTATGCTATTTCTGGCCGCGCCGACAGCAGAGCAGCAACATCGGCCACAACGGCAAAAGCAGCAACATCACGCAGCTGAAAGCCATTCGAGAGTAGGAAGACATCTTGGCCGCCATAGGCTTGCCAAAAAACAAAACGCACCGAAACACCGAAGCCCCCCTGAAAAAGTAAATTCGGAAAATAAACCAGCGAGAAAATCCCTCTGCTCGTTAGCCCTGCCTGCAATTTGCATTTCAGTTGCAGCAGTGGGATACTTGTTTTTTTTTCGGCGCTAATGGAGCAATCTTGGCCAGATAGAAAGCAACAAAAAAAACGGAACCAGGCGATCAATGGAGCTCCTCTGTTCCGATCCATCCACGTCCACTCGAGCACTCGCAGCGGATGTGACATAATCTGATTGCCGGCTGCATTGATACTCGTAAGCCGAAATGGATAAACCGAATGGCATTCATAAGGTCTCTCAGTGGACCCATCAATGGGTCCAGATCTGTGTCGGCGCGATATCAAAGGCCCCCTCAGGTGGCGCTTCCTCAAGCAGTTGATCTATATAATGGGACCAAGGCGAATTTCGGATGCCCTACTCAGCCATAAAAAGTATAAACAATAACCCAAACTAGTTAGAAATTATCATAGAACAAATCCTCTTTAAACCTACAGTCATTAAACTTTGTTTTCTATTTATAATTTTCTATATATAGTCAGTATAGGGGGTATACTTTTTTTTTTGCCTCAATTAGCCATTCAGCATTTGCGTTAATTTTCGCGGCACTTGCGGCACATTCCAAAATACCAAAAACAAA